TCCTGACCTCATGATCTGCCCGTCTCGGCCTCCCAAAGTGCTGGAATTACAGGCTTGAGCCACCGAGCCCGGCCCAGTGTGTTTTATTTTTATAAGTTAAATTAGAAAACAAGTGGCAATCAGAGATTTAGTCTAAAAAGTGTATTTACAGGTAACAGTTCTCATCCAGCCTGATCTCACACAATACCATTTACATCCTCTTACATCTAAAGTTTCAGAAAAGGATCTTCACAATGTAAGTCTCAGGCACACTAGGAGTTCTATAATAAAAGATCACGTAGATCTGAATGTCCAAACTTATTAGAGAAAAAAAATGGAATCATTGGTTATATTTTCAAATTGCATTCAATACGAAATTAAAGTTTTGAAAAATTTTCACCTTCATAATTCTAAGTTAATAGAATTAAACCAGAACACTCCATTCTTTCAAAGCCTCTAGCTAGGCAAAATTTTACTCTATTACTTCTTGCTTTCAATGGATACAAAAGGGAGTCCTGGTAGGCATATTTTGTATACCTGCAAAGATGCAGAACAGTTCCATCTGTTCAATATTAAAACACAAGTCCTGTAAACCTCAGATGGTAAGTGTAATACTTCAGCACTAGGACCAAAGCCTCAAATGTGAAAAGATACCAAGAACACCACTAGCAAACAAAAGTAAACTCTCAACCAGAAACAGTAGTTCACACCTGTAATCCTAGCACTTTGGCAAGCCAAGGTGGGAGGATTACTTGAACTCAGGAGTTCAAGACCAGCCTGGGCAGCACAGCGAATTCGTATCTCTACAGAAAATTTTAAAAATCAGCAGGGCGTGGTGGTACACACCTGTAGTCCTAGCTACTTGGGAGGCTGAGGCAGGAAAATCACGTGAGTCCCAGAGTTTGAGGCTGCAGTAGCTATGATCATGCCACTACACTCCAGCTTGGGTGACAGAGCAAGACCTAGATAATTACATTCTGTCCTGCTCCTGTTTACACTAAAATCACTAAGTTAAAATGCTTTCATTCAGCAGGATAAAAATTAAGTAAAATGTGACTTTGGAGTTTGGCTAGCAAAAAACAAAGGAAGAAAAAATAAAGCAAAATGACAAATTACTTACTGGGAGAAAGTTTTTGAAACTTCAATGACAGATAAAAGGTTTGTATCCTTCGCTTATAAAGAAATCTTTAAATTACTCAGAAAAAGACAAATGATTAAAAAAAGATAAAATATTTTATAATTTTATAAAATTACTCAGAAAAAACCAAATGATTTCTAACAGAAAGTGGGCAATGGAGAAACAGGCACTTACTACAAAAATAAAAACGGCCAGTAAGCACATAAAAAAGATTCAAAAGCACTAAAACCAAAGAAATGTAATGAAAACAATATTTTCTGCTTAAAGACCAGCAAAGATGCCAAATGGAAGGAGGAAACTGGAGCTCTGTCGCTGTTGGTGGGAGTATAAACTGAACCAATTTTCCTCCAGGATAATTTGAAAATTTCTACTAAAATCCCTAAAACTGTTTTATATTATTTTCCTCCAGAAATTCTACTTCTATGAAATCAGTCCAGAAATGCTTTCCCGAGTCCATTAAAATGTATATATAAAGCTCATTTTAAAGCACTTATGAATTTTAGTTGGCATAAAGTTGAAACAATGACTTTTAGTTTTAAGTTGGTAACAAAAATAAATTCTCTATATATCACTTACTCCTTTCAGCAAAACAACCCAATACATACCTCTGTAGAAAATGTTTCTTCTGGATTTACCCAAATAACATGATAAATTCTCATTATTTTATTGCTTTTTAAAAATTATTTATTTGCTTATTTATTTAGAGACAAAGTCTCACTCTGTCGCCCAGGCCGGAATGCAGTGGCGCAATCTCGGCTCAATGAAACCTCCACCTCCGGGGTTCAAGCAATTCTCCTACCTCAGCCACCTGAGTAGATGGGATTACAGGTGCGTGCCACCATGCCTGGCTAATTTTTTTCTACTTTTAGTAGAGACGGGGTCTCACTGTGTTAGTGAGGATGGTCTTGATCTCCTGACCTCGTGATCCACCCACCTCAGCCTCCCAAAGTGTTGGGATTACAGGCATGAGCCACCGCGCCCGGCCTATTGTTATTTTTTTTAAAAAGACTAAAACATATTATATTATATTACAGACACCGGTCACTCAGTATGTCAAAAGGCTTAAGATTGAACTAGATCATCTGCTGAACTTTAAACTTAGTACTTACCTCTATTTGTAGATGAAGTTTGAAGCAACTGTTTGGCTTTGAGGGAAGTATGAGGCAAATTTTTCAGCCTTTGTGAAACTGTTGAAAAATAAGGAATTGTAATATTTGCCTGTAAGTACAACATAAAGGCTATGGCTTCTGATACAAACTTGAAAATTTATCAGAGTGGAAACCATAAGGTGCAAATATGTTAGAATCCTAGAAGCAAGAGACCCCATTCTCCACAAAAAGGAAAAAAAAAAGTCAAAAAGAAACAAAAAAGTGATGCTTAGTGCATTAAGGTGGAAAGAAAAGGGGATGGAACATAAGCTTTTAAAAATAGTTTCTTATAGATGAGAAAATCTCCAATGTGTCATTGGTCAAAATAGCAAAGAGAAAACAAACCACCAGCAAACATGCTATAGATGCAAAGAAAACAAAGATAAAAGTATAGAATAAACTATACAGCACACAGTGTAGAATAAAGTAAGTGCAGCACTTGTCCAATGCATAAAAGCAGATTTTGGCAAAGCAGTTATTGTTAGATGAATTACCCTAATATGAAACCATAATCTCCAAACTATTCGAAAAGGAGAAGAAAACTCAGAACCAAGCAGGCCCTCAGAAAGTTACAATCTAGTAGCTTCACTATGTTCGGTATCTTGTAGCGTACAACTAATTTTTTATCTAGGCTGTGCACATATGTATGTAGGTGGGGGGTTGTACGTAATGTTGGTGTGGGTTGAGGGGTTTGGAGGAGTCAGACCATCTGCCTTTTAAAGTTTTCAATGAAGAAAGCTAAGCTTTCTTCCAAACTCCCAATGTATTAACTGCACTGAAACTCAAAATTAGCAGGTAAGCAGCAGCCCAGGGCCATCCAGAGATAAAGCAGTTCCAATTTCTCCAATATACAGTTACTATGGCTCTGACGGACTGATGAGTCTCACACCTACCAGTGTAGTCATCTATTTAAGTGGCTCTAAAATATTTTAGTTACTGTACTGATTTGAAAGTCAGACTTCATATACCTCTAGGATTTATGTGCAAAAAAAGAGCTCTCATTGCTATAAATCTAGCCAAACTGCATAAACATTATTGGGGTGATAAAGGGATACCTGACATTATCAGAAAGAATTACGATTTCTCAGCCAGGTGTGGTGGCTCACGACTATAATCCCAGCACTTACAGGCCTTTGGGAGGCCAAGGCAGGGGGATTCGTTTGAGCCCAGGAGTTAGAGACTATCCTGGGCAACAAAGGGAGACTCTGTCTCCACAAAAAAATAAAAATTAAAATTAAAAAATAAGCCAGGTATGGTGGTGTGCCTGTGGTCCCCCATCTACTCAGGAGGCTGAGGTGGGAAAAGTGCTTGAGCCCAGGAGGCTGTAGTGAGCCATGATTGCATCACTGCACTCCATCCAGCACGGTCAACAGAACAAGGCTCTGTCTTTTAAAAAAAAAAAGAATTCTGTCCCCTGCACTGCTTAACTCTATCAAAACTTGAAAACTATTCTTTTCTCACAGATAATAAACTTTTTTAAAAAAGTAACAAATGTGTTTAATTACAAATTTTATAGCACTCTAAACATTACTGTAGCTAAATAACATTAGATACCAACTTAACTTAAATATTGCCAGGCAGACAAGCAAAAATTTATCCATATCTAAAAACTCAATTTTATAATGGGTTATCTTATTTCTGTTGCACAAAAATACAGGTTACTATCGGTTTTTTTTTTTTTTTTTTGAGACAGAATCTCACTTTGTTGTCCAGGCTGGAGTGCAGAGGCATAATCTCAGCTCACTGCAACCTCTACCTCCTGAGTTCAAGCAATTCTCCTGCCTCAGCCTCCTGAGTAGCTGGGACTACAGGCACATGCCACCACACCTGGCTAATTTTTGTAGTTTTAGTAGAGACGGGGTTTCACCATATTGGCCAGGCTGGCCTCGAACACCTGACCTCTTGATCTGCCTGCCTTGGTCCCCTAAAGTGCTGGGATTACAGGTGTGAGCCAAGCATCTGGTCTTAGAGTATTTTTCATCTACATATTTATTCATATATATGTTTCCAACCATTTATATTTTTATTCATTCACTCACTCACTCATTCCTGTTTTTTGTTTTTTCATTCACTCAAATAGTTCAGTATCTGCTTTACCCAGGTACTGTTTTAGGTATAATGTATTCAGTAGGCAACTAGGTGGATACAGTTCCTACTCTCATGAAACTAATATTTTAGGAAAGGGGAGAAAGACAATGAGGCAGTGAAATAGAGGGCCTGCCAGATAGTGATAGTTGCTAAGGAGAAAATTAAGTAGAAAAGAGGGACAAGAAGTAGGAGATTTAAGTTGCAATTATAACTAGGGCAATCAGAAAAGATTTCCCTAAGATGACACTTGCACAAATATCTGAAGGAAGATAGGAAATCAGTTATGCACATATGTGGAGAAAGCATTCCAGATGGAAGAAACACCAATTGTAAAGGTTACTGAGATAGGAGCATGCCTTGTAGGTCTGAAGAACAGAACCTAGGTCGGTTGTTGGAGTGGAATAAATGAGGGCAAAAGGTAACCAACTGAACATACAGTGACAGTTCACAATATCTATTAACCATTAAAACAATTTTTAATAAAGATTCAATATCAAATACTATCTATAATAAATGCTTCTGGAAAGATCCTATTTGAATTCATAGCTACGGTGACTGCAATGGACCCAACCCTATTTATCCCTCAAGTTTTATGTGCGTCGTAATAATAATAGCATCTACAGACAAGCACAAACTGCATTGGGAATCTGAAGAATAAGATTACACACCGAACCAGGTCATAAACTGTAAATTTGCCTGATACAGAAAGAATGAAATAAACGATTTTCCCAAAATGCCACAGTCATATAATATTACGCAAATAACAAAAATCCAATGTTATTCTGAGTTATCAATCTTAATTTTACGAGTTTTCTAAAGACAATTTTTTTTTTTTTTGAGATACAGTCTCGCTCTGTTGCCCAGGCTGGAGTGCAGTGGCGCAGTCTCAGCTCACTGCAACCTCTGCCTCCTGGGTTGAAGCAATTCTCCTGCCTGGCTAAGTTTTGTATTTTTAGTAGAGACAGGGTCTCACCATGTTGGCCAGGCTGGTCTCGAACTCATGACCTCGTGATCCACCCACCTTGGCCTCCCAAAGTGCTGGTATTATAGGCATGAGCCACTACACCTGGCTTTGATCATTTATATTAACTAAAAAGTTTTTAAAAAATCAATATTTCCATAAAGAGGATCATGACTTCTAAGTGTTCTATTTCCCAAAAAATTTTGAGCCATTGGACTAGACAGCCATTTATTTCTTGTAACATTTATTAAATAATTTGCCAAGCCTTTATGTTTTAAGTCCCACAAAGAAAATGCAAGCCCCAATTAGGCCTTCTGCTTCCAGAAATACCTGCTAATAAAGTGTCTCCCACATCACTGGTGGTTAACAGATGGCAGTAGAGAGAATGACAGACAACAGGAAGTGCATAGATACCTTTGTTTCCTTCAGGGGTCGGCTTCTTCTTTTCTTCCTGTACTATGGACTCCTCTAGGTCCTTAGGGGTTGGGTCTAAAAATTCCCACTCTTCATTGGTATAAAACACAGTCCTCCGACTATCATTATGTCCATTCCCAGGATGGAAAGAATACATCAAATTTCTATTAAGAAAAATGATATGTGTTATTAACAAAGAGTAAAACAAAACATAATCTTATGTATATAGGATTGGCAAAAATCAAAATATCTGATAATATCAAATGTTGGTGAGAATATGGAGAAACTGGGATTCTTATACACTGCTAGTGGGAGTATAAACTGATAATATTACCATGGAGGGTAACTCAGCAAGGTACTGCTAAGTTGGAGAGGTGCCTGCCCCTAACACCCAGTATTTCCTAAAAGAAATCCTTACATACGTGCACAAGGAGACACAAACCAGAACATTCACCATAGCACTGTTCATATTACAAAAAAAAAAACAACAAAAAAAGGTACAACAACCTAAGCATTCATCAACAGGAGAATACACTGTGGCATACTCATGTAGTCAAGTACGATACAGCACTCATTCATTCAACAAATGTTGATTGACCCTATAATATGCCAGACAATATCTAGATGCTTGGAATATCCTAGTGAACAAAACACAGCAAGATTCTTGTTCTTGTAGAATGTACATTTCAGCTAAAGCTATCCGTGTCATAGGGATAAATATTTTTTAAATGCTGAATGAAAAGTGAAAGAAAATGGAAGAATTATAGGTACAGCATAATACTGTTTTATGTCTTCAGATAATACTGTTAATAGAGACTATTTATAGATACATACATATGTAGTAAAACTATTTTTTTAAATCCACACATGAATGACAATAATCAAATACAGAATATTGGCTACCTCTGTAAAGGGAAAGAAGAATAGGATTAAGAAGAGAGGATTTGGCTGGGCATGGTGGCTCACGTCTGTAATCCCATCACTTTGGGAGGCTGAGGTGGGAAGATCACTTGAGATCAGGAGTTTGAGACCAGCCTGGCCAACATGGTGAAATCCCATCTCTACTGAAAATACAAAAATTAACCATGTGTGGTGGCACATGCCTATAATCCCAGCTACTAGGGAGGCTGAGACGGGGGAATTGCTTGAACCCAGGAGATGGAGACTGCAGTGAGCCGAGATTGCACCAATGCACTCCAGCCTGGGCAACAGGGTGAGACTCTGTCTGGGAAAAAAAAAGAGGATTTTAATTGTATCTGTACTACTTTGTTTTTAGAAATACAGTGGAAAAATGACAAAACTATAAAAACGAGTCATGGCTATCTGCATAATCAATACACTTGCCTGAGTGCTAAAAATATTTCATTAAAAGTTTTAAAAACTAGGTTGGGATTT